CTCAGAAAAGCGACTGTGTCGTGTCTAGCACGTGCACCTTTACACTCCTCCAAACTCCCATGGCGCTGTATTACTACCACCATGTCAAGAATACACGTTTGCATAGTCACTCTACAATGGCTTATTTCCTCCAAATGCATCAGTGGTCCCCACGCGCCCCCCCCCCAAGTTTCTTGTATTACTTTCATAATCACAGGCATGAAAGACTTTGGTTACTGAATCAAATATGTTTATAAAATACGGATCTGCTTTTCTAAATTTTCAATCCTATTAGGCTTTTTGAATCGTGAGTACATACAGCTAATTATTTCCTCCCATGTCTAAGTCAAGGACTCGGGCTGGGAGCCACCCACCAAGACCATAAACACCTTTCGACTACGGTCGTCTCCACACTTCCCACAGCACCTTATTCAGCCCCGCGCTTGGAACACACCTAGTAACTGCCGCGGCATAAACAGAAAGCTTCACACACATGACACGGGAAGCCCTCTGCAAATGAGCCGCTGTGCAGAAAGGGGTCATTGTTATTGGGAGGCAGCGCTGGAGGCGAGTCCTTCTCCCCCCCATCCACGAGGAGTGGCACCCCCAATTACGCCAGCTGGCCTCCAACTCCTGAGCCGATTAAAAGCACCAGCTCTCCAGTGTCTGGAAACTCCTGGAAGGAAAGTTTGCCGCCCCAAGTTGGCTTTTGACTAGAGCCTTAACAAGGGGCCTCAGCAGGCTGTGGCGAGACAATGTCACTTAGAGAAGCAGCTTGAGGCGGCAGTTAGGAGGAGAATTATTTTAATGAATACATTTCCTTTCAATTGTATGGGAATATCAAGATCCCATTAGAATGGGGAAGCAATTAGAACTAATAAAGATGAATGCGCGGGGCTCCGTGCGTGCTGAATAACAAGCAGCCAACAAAGGGGCTCCGGAGGGCCGCTCTAATCCGAGAGAACAGCGGCGGTGGAGGAGGCGAAGGCTCTGTTTAGTGCTCAAAGCCCCCGAGCCGCACATTCTGATCACGGCCAGCAAATGGCGAGAGCCGGGCGCTGGAGGTGGGGGCTTCCCACTTCCTTCCAGCCCTACCTCTTGGGGACCGGGATGGGCTGGTGGCAGCCCCTTGGCAACAGCCATTCAGGCCAGGCCCTGGCTCCTGGCCAGCCTCTTGCCTGCCCCTTGCACTGGGCCTCACTGTGTCCAGGTGGCAAATGCCTTCTCGCCAACTCTCCTTCGAGGGTTGGAGAGGGGGTGGGACAGGGGAGGAGGGAGCAGGGAGTAAATGAGTAGGGGGCCCTCAGCCCCCAGCATCTCTGCTCCCCCTCCCCAGAGTCTGCTCCTCTTCTGACTTTGGTGTTACGTTACAGACACTGGTGAGTCACAGGCAGCCAGACACAGAAGTACTGTTGCTTACACAATTGCTCTTCAAACGGTAACAAACAATTTTCATTATCCAAGTCAGATCGAATCATCTGCCTGGCCATCCTGCCTCAATGACAGCCACACAAACAGGACCCAGAGCCTCCTGCTCTGCCTGCTCTGCCCGCTCCGAAAACACTGGGCTTCATTTTGCCTCAGCCTCCAGATGAGGGACAAAGCGCTTCCCTCTGATTCCTTCTCTGAGCCGGATCTGCCACACGGCTGTCAAGGCTGTCAGGACAACTGGAAAAGACACAAGGACCTAAGCAGCTTGGGACCCACTCGGATAGAGGCTGACATGTTACTCAGAACCTGGGTGAAGAAAGCGTTCAAGAGTTTTAGAGGACTCCACTGCCAAGTTTAGAAGGAATCCAACAAGATAACCCTGGCTCCCCACCAAAGTACTCACTGGCCTCGAATGGAGTGTCAGTGCTTGACATTTCTTTATTTAATCTTTTTGGCCAGGCAGTTTTTTTCAACTAGGAATGTATAAGCTCATTCCAAACTGTCTGTCTGAGAGGCCGGTCACACTCATTACTGGGATTTTTTTCTACCACTTCTCTTAACAGAAAGTCTGTAACATTTTTTACTTGTTTCTTAAAGGTAGAGCACTGTAAAGCATATTTACATTTATAATCTTATTTGAACCGCAAACTCGCCCTGGGGGATGGGCAGAGCCACGATGGTTGAGTCTACAGAAGGAGGGTTAGTGAGGGTCAGTGTCCCCCGTGTGAGGTCCTGGGTAGGTAAGGCTCTGACTCAGTGCTGGAACCAACACCTTTCTCACACTCCCACACAGTGCTGCACATTCCAGGACGGCTCGTTCTGCAATTGTTTCCAGCACAACTCCTACCCTTTCCATAAACTACACTAAGCACTGTGTGCTTTCTCAGCCTAGAGTCCAGGCTACAGAGGATACCTCCTCCGGAAGGTTGAAATCTAGAAGTCTCCAAAGTGGATCACCTTCCTCAACGAATAAGATAGCCCCTACCTCTATTGTACCAGCTTTGGTCAGTATGAAAAACCCTGTCCAGTATATGGTGGGCACAATCAGAACTGGAAAACCAACTATTTAGATCCCTCTAGTATAACACTGTAGCACCCAGGGACCGGTAAGTGCTAAAGCAAAGTCCACTTTCCTTCCTTACTGATCACCACCTCCTACACCTAAAGGCCTAATTGCTAATTTTAGAAAGTCTTTATCATCTTAGCTATAATTTATATGCCATGAAATATACCGATATTAAGTATAGAGCTTGGCAAGTTTTGACAAATGTATGTATCAGGAGACAGAACATTTCCATCACCCTACAAAGTCCTTGGATATGCCCTGCCAGTCAACCTCACCCTAAACCTATCATCCTATTATCTATCACCATACATTAGTTTATCCTGCCTTGAATATATCAGATAAATGGAATCAGATATATAACTTGTTTCTTCCTCCTTTTGTGGAACTAGGTTTTAAAACCAGGGCTTTTGCCCTAAGCTATGTCCCGAGCCCTTTTTAAATTTTATTTTGAAAGGGGTCTCACTAAGTCACAAAGTTGCCCAGACTGGACAGTTTGTTCTGCAATTGTTTCCGCACAACTCCTACCCTTTCCATAAACTACACTAAGCAACTGTGATCTCAAGGACTCAAACTTGTGATCTTTTTGCCTCAGAATGCTAGGATAACAGGCACCACATCCTAATATATCTTTTGCCTTTCGTTCAATGTGTCTGCCAGACTCATCCATGTTGTAGTTTGTTTTTATAACAAGTATTACATTTTTCATTCAGTTTTAAAATCCAGCTATATTGCTGCTAATCTTTTCCTCTAAATTCTTTCCAATTTATCTATTGTATGGTCCTTTGTATGCATGTCTTCTGTATATCTTCTTGGTCATGCTTGCAATGATAAAAAAACATGTAAACAGATTGCTTTTACCACTAGCATTTTCCTTTTGGGTAGAGGTGGCTGACTAGGTCATCCAGCATGATGGTCATGAGCACAGACTTCAGCGTAGGCAGAGCTGAGTTTACATTTCCAGGTTAGTACGTAACAAATGGGTAGTCTGAGATGGGTGACTTAACCTCTGTATGACTGTTTTCCTATTTGTAAAATGAAGATAATAATACTCTCCTAATAAGGATTTGTGAGGACTAAATTACATTGTATATAAAATGCTTGGCATAGGACAAATAATGGCCTCAGGCTAGACAGTAACAAACATCCTGCTTCATTCACACACTTTCAGTTTTTGTAAGTCATACATTAATGGACAGTATATTTTAAAGGACATATTTCACGTTAATATCTAGAAAAGTCTGTTTAGACTTTAAGCTTATTTAAAATGAGCTGATTTCTAAGGGAAAAAATAAACACTGCCACTATTTTCATTGACACGTATATACTGAGTGCCAACTTTGAGAGGTTCATTGAGTGATTAAAAACATGGTCCTGGCTTTTAGGATGTTTGGTTTAGGGACAGTTAAAAACATAAAAACAAAAGTAATTACAATACAAAACCAAGTGTGGTAAATAATAATAACAATTAACATCTATTAATGTAGTGATTAAGAGTATGGTCATACTATATGAGTTCAAATCCCAGCTGCAAGATGCTGGGCAAGTTACTTAACATCTTTGTGTGGCACCACACTTGTAAAATGTGGATACTACTTACCTAGCAGGGTAAGCACTCAGTAATAATGCAGCTAACATTTATAGAATATCCAAAATGTGTCGAGCACTGTGTTAAATGCATATGTGTATTAGCTTACATCTCTAAATACTATTATATCCACTGTCCTAACGCAAATGAAGGTCAAGGAGTGTAGGTTAGTGTCCTTACGATTATACAGCTACAAAATACCAAATGCCACAGGAGAAACACAATCATCTATAAAATGATAATTAGAATCAAATGAATTAATATTTGAAAAGTGCTTATACAGAGCCTAGCCTATATATGCAGGTGTCAAATAAATATAAATTATTATGGGATTCAGAGATGATCGTAAACAAATTCCGTGCATGGTGACTAACGAAGACTTTGGAAAGATGCCATTTAAACTGGGACCCAAGGGTATGTTAGTTTGGCTGGGAACGAGGGAGGGGGTGGTGGAATATTTCCCTTTCCTTCAGCTATTCACCATTTCTCATTATGTCTTACTATTTTGCTCTTATTGCCATTGAACCTGCTGTTTTTAATCCTCATCCTAATTATCCATTGACCAATACTTCTGGATGCCTCTGCGTCCCCCACTGGTTCTAGTTCCTATCTCCACTCTAATCCTCCAAGCCGGATTACCAGTTTTTAGAAGGCTCCACTCCAATCCATCCTCCACACTGACACCAGAGACTAAAGACACAGACCTGGCCCAGTCCTTCTTTGCTCCCTCTATAGTCTTTCCTTACTGTGTCCAGAAGAAATCTCAATTTGCCTAGCATCCTGAGTAAAGCCCTTCACTCATTGGCCCAGCAAAGCTTTATCTCCTTGTCTTGGTCTTCATGCACTCTGCGCTTGAGCCACTCAAATTCAGTGCTCACCAAAAAAAAAAAAAAGCACTCCATTGCTACTTCATCTCTTGCATACTGAAACGCCTTGAATAACAAAACCCTGGTTACATCCCCTTTGCCTTCAACTTTCCCAACTTAGAAGGCAGTGCACACGCACAACTGGGAGAGGAAGGGCTTCGCGCAGACCTGGGGCCGCCATCTTGGTTGAGGCGGCCGGAAGTGGCCGAAGCGCGGGCGCGAACTGAGGCTGCGCAGCGGCTGCTGGTGTAGGGCGTCCGCGGCGTCACCGCAGCCGTTCCCAAGCAGTGGTGCGCCGTCCGGCAGCTACAAAATCTCCTCTGCCGCTAACACCCACTCTTTCTCCCGCTGTCCCGCTCTTCCGTCGGGGTGTGCGCAGCGGTTCGCGAGCCCCTCGGCCCTCGTCCGCGCTGTTCTGCCCGCCCGCCCAAGACCATGTTGCAGAACCCCGAACGCGGGGGTCTCCCGGACCCTCGGGCAGAGAGGGAGCATGATGGCGGCCGTGACGGTGAGACCCAGCCTTGGCAGCCCCCTCCTGCGGGAGTCCCCCATGAGGGACCTTGGCGCGGTGAGGAAGAAGAGAGATGCGGAGCCCGCCTGCGTCCGGAAAGGAGCCAAGGTCCCGACGCGGTGCCGGGCACGCCGCTGCCTGGACCGGACGGTGGCCGAGCTGGTGCAGTTTCTGTTGCTGAATGATAAGAGCGAAGAGTCCCTTCACACGCTCGGAGATGGTGAAATGCGTCACCGGGGATCGTCGCAAGGGCCGCAGAGCGTCTGCGTGTGCCTTTGATGTCCAGCTGAAACAGTTCCACCGCAAGCACCACACATCCTCATCAAGAGACTCAAACCTCTAGAGGAGGAGGAGGATCTTAGGAGGAGATGTCCCCAGACTGGGACCTTTTAGTCATGATCTTGGGTCTTATCTACAGGAAAGGTAATAGTGCCAGGGAGGCCCAGGGCTGGGAAATGCTGCGTCGTTTGGGGGTACTTGCATAAAGTATCACTTCTTTGGGTACCCAAGAAGGGAGATTTTTGTGCCACAGCGAAACATCCGTTACAGGCAGGTGCCTCACACCAGTCCACCAGGATGTCAGTTCGCTAGGGGTCTGTAAAGCAATCCGGAAATCAGCACGATGAAGAGTCCTAAGGTGTGGGGCCAGGCTTCATAAGGAGGAACCCCGACACTGGCCGTTGCACTATCCTGAGGCAGTAGTAAAACATGAGGCCAAAAAGGCCAGGGCCTGAGCCGGTGCTAGCGCCTGCATTTGGCCATCATTTCTAAAGAAATTGTAATTTTTTAGGTTTTGTATCTTGTATTACATTTAATATGCTGTTAAGATGTATGTAAATGAAGTTGGTCTTTTTGTAGTTTTGCTGGATTTAAAAAACGAATTGAAAAACTTTCCTCTGTGATTTTGAAAAGATTATGCAGCGAGAGAATGCTGTTATTTAAATCGTTTGAAAGATGTTAGCATTATGATGATGCAGTGCTGGGGGAAAAACAGCTGATTCAGTGTCTAGCCTCCAACTTTTTTGTCTATTATGTATTTTTTAGAAAAAGACGTGCATGTTTATTTGCTTAGATGATCTAATATCTGGAAAAACAGTAAATTAGAGACATACCTTGTACACTTAATAAATTAAACACATGTTGAACATCTTGGGTTTGTTTTGTCTTGATGCACAGTTTTGGGCATTTGGGGATAGAATACATCCTATTTTTTATAGAATTGGGGACCATATGCATAAACCAAAAGTTACAATACCATGAGGTGGTTGGTCAGGAGTGCTTGAGGTTACCTTGGTAACCTTGCTGGTGGGGTGAGGAAATAGGAGGTGGGAAGGGGAAGAGGTGATGATGGTGGTTAAAATGATTTAAAATAGGTGCTCCTCAGTACCTCGAGAAAAAGACTTGCTATGTGGCAGACTTGGGAAATGCCCTGCATTTGCCAGTAGCCCTGTTCTAGGACAGTTTGTGACAGTTCACAATGATGGTGACTATGGGAAGTTTGGCCTCTGTCTCTCAGCTTAAGTTTCACTGTTCTGCCAAAGCCCCAAGAGAGCAGTTCATGTGACAGTTCTAAAATACTATGTAGTATGATGGAGAGTACACGTGCTGTGTCCTGGTATCAAGAAGCTGAGCTTCGAGATCTCTTCCCCTGACATCAGGAAGCACAGTGCTCCTCCATGTGCCTAGCTGCTGCTTTCCATTGGCCCCTCCTCTTTGGTGTAAGACAGCCCTCACATTCTCAATACCAAGAAGAAGCATCTGCTGGCTGCTCTGGACTCTGCAGTGCCCACCGCCTCCACTCTGGGGGAGCAATCCTATAGAAAGAGTGTGTATAACAGGGGAGCTACTAGAATGGAGCCCACACCAAACATGGAGGGGGTGGATTGTGAAACCGTCTCCCTGCGGCTGTCATAAAAGGAGACTTGCTTTGTTCTCCTTGCTGTTGGTTTTCTGTTTTGAGTTGTCTCAAATATCATTTATGTGTTTAAGATTGGCGTGGAATACAGATCACTTTGGGACAGGGTCTGGGGATCCAACAAATCAAACCAAAGTTGTCAGTTTATAGGGTATAAAATGGTCTAGGGAAGATTGAAAATATGAATTTTGAATAGTTTATAATTCATTAAATAAAATAAAAATACTGAATGCTCATTGTTTTGCCAACAACTTTGCTAGGTACCAAGGTTATTAAAATGGAAAGACTGAAGCCAAATGCAGTGGGCCACACCCACCAGAAGTTCAGCTCTGTGGAAGACAGGCAGGAGGATTGCAAGTTTGAGCCCAGCCTGAGCAGTGTAATGAGACTCTGTCTCAAAACAAAAAAATAAATTCTAAAAGGGCTGATGGTATATTTGGGGATAAAGGCCCTAGGTTTGATACCCAACATAATCAACAAACAGGAACACTGGCTTTGCCCTCAAAGAACAATAATTTTGCATGTTTGTATGTTCCGAGTGGCTGGGAGGTCAGTAGTGTGTATACCTGAAGGTCAGGATTATTTGATGATTTACCGAATGTCACCTGGATGGTTAAAAAGCATATCAAGCTAGAACCCACGTCTCCTGCCCCCAAAGCCAGTATGTTCCATTCTAGCACACTGTGCCCCTTTCCTTCAATATATTCAATATATTGCGTGTAGTTTTAAGTTTTCACAACTTAAAGAAATAAGCGAGATGTGTGGAACTCCCTCCACCTGCCCCTGCAGTCTTTAAGAGATTGAAGTAGAGTAGGCACGCTCTCCATTTTCATCATGACAGAGATGGCTTTGCTCAACATCAGACATGGTGCCTGTGGCACAGGCAGGACTGACAACCATTTATTAAACATCTGTGGACCAAACGTATTCTTTCCCTACTTTCTACAGTCACATTTGCAAAGCAGCTAACGCTAAATCCCTCCATTTCACGGATACTAATGATAGTCATACTTGACATTTATTAAATTCCTAAGAGAAGCCAGCTTCTCTATGCTTTACGTGTGTTTTAGTGATCTGCATAGCAGTCTTACAGGATAGTATCTGTTCCATTTTCGCTAAGCAAATGAACTCAGAAGAACTCAGAAGTTCTGAGCCTCACTGAGTGTCAGACCCAGGAGTGAGGCCAGAGTCTGGCTGAGTCAAGAGCCTACACTTGTCACTGTGTTACATTTCTTCCTTGGGACTCCTTCCAGAGTTGGGTCATCTGTCACCTGACTCGTCCTTATTAGACACTACTGTCTCTCTGGAGCTGCAAGGGCTGTGGAGCCAAGATACTTACGGCAAGACGATGGCCTGCAGGAGGGTGAAAAGCGAGCTAAAACAAAGTTGGGGAATCATCTGCGAACACTGATTCCCACTCTGCTACTTTCTTCTTGGTGTTCTCAGAGCTGACTGTGTAATTTTGCTTCAGTTTAGCATAGCCTTTAGAGACCATGTTGGCTCGGTGTTTAGTCTGCTCTCTTCTGTAAGCCTCAGATTAGGCTTTCATGCCATGGGACAATCAGATAATGCCTGGGGACCTGCACTGTGAATCCCAGCATTGTTTCCAGATGGCACAGAGGCTGGCAGAACTGCTACCCTTTGCCATAGGATGACAGACTTCCCATGTCACCGATGCTACCGCCGACTTCTTGGAAGTGCAGAGAATGTGGCCTCAGGGCCCATGGGCGGTGCAGATATTGGCCATGTAAGGGTGAGAGACAGATTCCCATAGTGCTTGCGACCATTACAGGAGGGAGGAGGAAGCCCCAGCTTCCCCATCTCCTTCCCCTTTGGAAAACACAGAACTGGATGTTCCTGGGCAAAACACTTGTGTACCTCTGGGACAGGAAGGATTGAGAGAGTGTTGGCAGATGGATTACCCCAGGTCATAATTACAGTACAGCCAAGCAGAGCTAGTGAAACAATTCCCTTGTAAGATCTAAACATGTCTTAGACAATGGGAAAGGTCTCAGTTTGGTCACAGACTCTGCAGGGAACTTGACACTCGCTGGAACAGAGATTTCTAATCCATTGGAATTCAGGACAGGGTTGTTTGGGAAGAGACCCAGGTCAGTTACAGCCCCAGTATCCAGAAGGTACACAGTGATCCAGAGGCGGCAGCTCACCTGCAGTCTCTGCAGATCAGGCTCACTCAGGCTCCACCTGGGATGATTATGCTCCATGCCTTCATCATGGGGCAGCTGACACTCGTGCAAACGATCCCTCAAACTGTGCAGCCCTGCAGAGATGGTAATAATTAACCTCCCAGCAGAAGCAGTGTACTGAGCAAAGAGGTTCGGTATTCTGCAAAGTGTCCTCATGAAGGCCTTTTAAAAGTCAGGACTGTGACCTTGAATGAGGAACATTGGACAGAAGATCAAAGATTTAAGAAGTTTGGTGGATGATTGCAAAAGAGGTCAGCTTCCCAGCCTACCAGCCGATGTCAGGCTCTGCCCAGTTCCCAGGCTGAGTCGTGACCAATGACAGTGGCAGCCAGAGTTCATTAAGCCTTTGTGCCAGGCATGGTGCTTTGAATGACAACCTTATGGTCTCATACATCTGCATACAACCCTGTGTGGCAGGCTTAGCATTGCCAACATCAGGATTCTGTTATGGTTTACACCTAGAAGTCCCCTGACAGCCTCATGCATTCATAGGTGGACCTTGGGGGAAGTGATGGGATTATGGGACTCATAGCTGACTTGCTATTGGGTCTGGGTGGAAGAGGTGGGTCACTGGGGGCGTGGCCTGGGAGGATAAGTCACCCTTGCCCACTCCTGTCTTCCTGCTCTCTTTTCCCAGGATGCCATGAGGTGAGCACATTTTCCTTCTCAGAGCCCTTCTGCCCTGCTGTCCTGCCTCAGAGCCCGTCAACTATGGACTGAAACAGCCAAAGCAGCTTTCTCCTCTTTTAAGTTATGCTGTTGTGTATTTTGTCCCAGGGACCAGGAGAGTGACTAGGACAGAGAGGACAAGAAGCCACAGGAAAGAATTCCAGCCTTGTAATGGCCAAGTTAAATGACTTTGCCAGGTGCACGACATGACAAGTGGAGGCAGAGCCAGAACTTAACCCTAAATCTTGCAGGTTCTTGCCGGGGTCCCACTCCCTGGTCCTCCGAGGATTCCTAGGGAGGAACCAACTCCTATTAGTAATTGGGGCTGGGAGGGAAGGGAAGAAACCTCTGGCACTGCTCTCTTACTTTGGACCATGGTGTCATATCCTGTCCTTGTCTGGGCCACATTGAGTAAAGAGGAATTATCTTGTGGTGCATATAAAATATATAATATAATTTATCTAAAACATCTTTTATTGTTTTTTTGAGTATAGTAGTTTGCAAAGTAACACAAGCTTAATAATTAAATAAGAACACTCATGTGGCTGCTTAATAAGCATGACCACTGTCTTTACAGGTACATAGGCATGGAGGGAGGTTGGAACATCCCTGGTCACCGCTGTGTCTCCAGAGCAGGCTACGAATGTGCCTCAGGGCATATCCGATGCACAGGAGTTGCCACTTGGCTGGTTTGCGTGGAAGGCACGGGAGGCAGTTAGTGTTGCCCTGTGACTACCCCTACGCAGCATTCCCCTGTCACCTGTAGCCCTATCTAGTCTGTGCTCAGGCACCGTGTGACCGTGAAAAACATCCTAAAGATGGTATGATGATGTCCAAGGAGTCCCAGCTGGTGAGGCTGCATCACGAGCTGCCCTGGGTCACCTGTGGCCATGGCCTGGGAGTGGATGCACCAGTTCTAGAGCACCCTGACTGGAGGGCGGAGGCAGTAAGAGAGGCCAGGGACAAGCTGGCTTCTCTGGTTGTAGGACTCTGCGTGCAGAAGAGCTCATTTTTGAGGGCCAATGTCTCTGAGCCGACTCCCAGGCCTGCTGCAGTAGCTCTATGTCCATGTGTGAGGGGCAGCTTAGGCGGCCTGAGAAAGGAGGCACTAAGGACAGAGGAGCCCTCCGGAAAGGGAAGGGCTCTGGCCCCAGAGCAGGGATCTACACTCCAGTCTCGCTCTGCCTGTGACAGTGAGGGGACGCGAGCTCAGTTACCCAACCTCGCCAAGCTCTGGCATTCTGTCAGCTATTGCCACACGTGGTGGCCCATGCCTGCAATCCCGGGACTCTGAGAGGCTGAGGCAGGGGGATTGCAGGTTCAAGTCCAGCCTGGGCAACTTAAAAACTTAATG